CTTGATTAGTGTAATGATGATTCTTGAGTAGTTCTTTGGCTAGGAATTGGGTGAAACTTGTATGATTGATTGATTGTGATTAATTTGGGAGTTGTGTTGACTGATTGTTGAGATTAAATTGATTAATGGAAATTGTGCATGTTTAAATTCGATTAGGCCTTGAGAATTATGCTAGATTATATTGTAATTGCTAATGACACGAACAATTGATATAGAAATTGCAATTATCGATTGATTTGGATTGTGATTCTCTTAGTTTGTTATTCGTAGAGACATCTACCTTAATGATTAGGAGATCGCTCTTTGATTCCAATTGATTGCTCTTATCATTAGTCTTCACAACCTTTGATTGGCATGTTTGTCCCAAATTGTTGCAATTGTCATGATTACTTGTTGATCCCCATTCCTAGTGTTTTATTTGTTTGGTTGTTTTGTTTGTTAGCTGTTAGTGTTCTCTCTTTACCTTTGACTTTGACCTAGCTTAGGCGCCCAAATTGAAAGCACTTGAACATTACCGTTTCTTTGGGTTCGACCCTTGCCTTGCCTCCATACTTGTATTTAGGTTTGTTAAGTGTTTATAAATTTAGTTTGACCGAGGGAGGATTAGTCAACGACCTAATCTCACCCCTCGTCAATCCCCCAAACGGTTAGGAATATAAATCCTAATACACCCTAACAAGTGTAAAGTCCTAGGCATTTAAAGGGCCATGGGCATATAAGGAGAAGGATCCCATACGATGGGCAGACCCTCCTCACAATGGCGACTCCACTAGGGACTTAGAGGTTACAAGATTAGTTTTTAGTTATTGTCCAAGGTTTCCAACACTAGGTTTCCTATAGATTGTAACGAGAATTAACTTGGATAATCTCTAGTTAGATAGCGAGACGCATAATATCTTCCTTTTTCGCAAAAGTAAAAACCAAATAAGCAATATTGCACAATGCATAATCATAGCACACTATAACCCATGGGGATTGACTCATTGATTAGGGTTACCAACACTAGGCTTCTACCCCGAAATCAATAACAATCATCCCACCCACATCGCCAACAAAATGTTCGGAGGACTATGCCATGAGTCAAAATGTTGAGTAATTGATTTGTGCATCGTCTCTTAAGATATGGTACCTTTGGACACCCAAGATTTTAACTAATAGAAAGGCATTATGTGGATCTTGGCTTACGGTATGTGTAGACACCCAAATGTGTCTCCCAAAAACCAAACCTAGTGATGAATACCTTTCACGTCATTTGATTATCGAACAAAGTGAAAGTGTAAAAAGTCTAATGATGCGGTTGTTTTTATCAAAATATCTCTCTTTTTGTTTTTGAAAATGTGCTCTATTTATGAAAATAGCCAATCCAATTTAGTTTGGTCCATGATAAGGGTCTAATAATAGTGTAGTTGGATTGGTCTCAAAAAGAGCTTTCTAACGATATATTATAAGCCCAGTTCCGATGAATGATGAGGAAGTTATTGCCAAAATACTAAATTGGGCACAAAATGAATTTTATATGCGGCCCAATGATCTAGAGGAGGGCCTATTAATTATTATTCCTAAAGTTATTAGAATTGATTTAATCTTCTAGAATAATCTAGAAGATTCTTTTAAATTCTAATAGGATTAGGACTGATAATTATATTTTAAAAGAGTTTTATTTGGAATAAAATAAGTGTTTTATGATAAACTTGATTTTAATTTGATGAACGTGGAATTTGCTGCTTAATCATATTAAGAAGAGGATTTCGCGGCAAAGCGCGTTTATTTTCTGACTCAGCGCAAGACAACAAGACTGTCTCCTGGCGCTAATACCTGTCGCCTGGCGCTGGTACCCGTCGTTTGCGACATGAGGTAATTTATTCCGAATGGAACTTGAATGCTTTTCGATCGGGTTCCGGACTATTTTTCTATAAATAGGGCCCTTGACCCTCGTTTTTATTCATTCACAATCATCAACAATCTCTATTATCTCTCTCTAAAGCTAGAAGCTTACTCTCTCTATTCTTTTTCTAAACCTTCTCTATTACAAAATTCAGCATACATTTGTTCTAGACACACCTACCCAAGTTCGAAGTTGCCTTCGCCCTAGACGTGAAAGGTTGATAATTTTTGAGGGTTTGGTCCCAAATCCCTATTTCAATTATTTAATTTAATTGTTTGGTTTTAATATTTTCCTTGAAGTTACTAATGTGTGTATTTTGTTATTAGAAAGAGATACGAGGCATTCAAGTAAGTAATTTAATTGTTATTCTTTTGATATAGAAATCATGGTTTAATTATTTTGATTCATAGTATCATGTTAGGATTTATTGGTTCCTAGTATCATGTTTTGGGTGATAAATTATATTTATAATATCATGTATGTTTCTATGATGCTTCCCATTCTTTCTAATATCATGTTAGTATTATGTTAGGGATAAAGATTTGATCTTTATTATGCTTTTATGAGATTGAGAATATTATTATGATGATTGTTATGATTCTGTTGCTTATTATTGTTTTTATTGCTTGATCACGCCTTTTATGCATGTTTAAAGGGAATTTTTACTTGTAATCACGCTTAATAAGATAATTAATAATCTTGCTTAGGTTAATATGATTGTAATTCAAGTGATCGCCAATAATAGTTTTGTTTGTGCATTAATATTCATTCAACATAGATTAAACAGGTTAAGAGTTAATCTAATGATCCCCGAATCCAGTCATGGTTCCAGATCACTATTGAGTTAGCGATCTCATGGATCGTGAAGGGGTGTAACCTTCCCCCTGTGAACGGTTTATAAGTTCCTAAAACTTGTTGGCGACTCTTTTACTCTAGCTTCCTTCCCTTTTGACGCCACCATGCTTAAGTGTATGATCACAGTGCGGCTCAAGTGTGGGATGCTTAAAATATTCCGTATAGTTTTTTGGTGACTCCACTAGGAAGGATTTCTATTTTAATTCCTAAAATTTATTTTGGCAATAATTTAGAATGAGTGGATGAGACTCGAAAAGTTCTAAGTATTTCATTTGCGTAATATTGATTAAAATTATTGGCATAAGCATAAAAAAGTTCCGCATTGGAAAGACCATCCATAATGCGTCAAAAACATAGGATTTTTACATGTAGGAAATTAGGGAAATATCTTTCACAACTAGAATCAAAATAACGCTGCGAAAAATTGGAAACTTCAAGAACAAAAAGCTGCTAAGGCATGTAGGAATTAGTGCTGAGAAAACATTGTCATCGCCATGCGATGGCTCTGTCGCCTGGCGACAGAGTCATAGTCTAGTGACAGGCACTGTAGTCTCACGCCAAGTTCTTCTAATATCGAGCCAGAAATCTACCTTCTTGTTTCGACCAGTTCTAGTACTCTTTGCTCGGTTTTACTTCCTGATTGAGTTTTTTCCCCTTTTTTCTAAACCCATATGTTGTTCTACATATGGCCATAACAATCTTGGAATTCACGCTCCATCTACCCAATAGAACTCTCCTGGAAACGAAGGGTACATCCGAGTTTGTTGAATACACCAAACCGTGGAAGCAAGTTTAACTCTCGGGGTCCAATCTATACGCGCTAACCCTTCCAAAGGTAAGGCTTCCGCGTGATGCATCTAGACTCATAACCATGGACCCTCTTTGACTAACCCATATCCTCGAACATTAGAGAACTAGAGCCATGGTTAGGCTGCAAACTGTAACACCCCAATAGTTCTCTCTTTAAACTTGTGAGGACCCTGAACAATATTCAAGAGAATTACTGGTGTGCTACCGCCACGTGTTCAAACGTTAAAGCTTTTTCAGAAATTAGCAGCGGAAAAACTAAATTAATTATATATAAATTTCAAAACCAATAACCAAAACCAAACTAAATCTTACAACTTGGAACCATTAAGGCCCTTATTCAAAACTCAAACCAATAGAAATAGTATGAAAGTAAAGTTAAGTTTAAATAACTCTAAAAGTAAATAACAATAAAAATAAGAAAAGTAACCAACACTCCACTCAATATCCCACCATCTAGAAACGGATGCTGCATGTGTAAGAACCTGTGGTTAATCTGCTCCTCAATATTACAAGTGTAAAAATTGGATCGTCACACGGTCATTGAAAGGCGAAGGCCATGACCAAAGAAAGACACACAAAGCACGCAATCAGCAAAGTTGAGTACATACAAGCTGCAAAACATAAAAGAAATTCCTAACATGCTACTATTAATCAATCATCACACATCATTAGTTTATAGACTCGACACATGACTAAACTATTTATATTACTAAGACTCCATTAATTAATAATAGGTAAATCATCATTTTATTTATTGGATTACGTAATAGACAAGGTTGTCCAACCCATGCTCCATTTGGAACATCAATGAAAGAAAAACCCCATGCCTCCTTTCGAAAACATCAATAAACATCCAACGACCACGGGCGCGACTCCGTGAACGTAGTTAGTATGAGATCTCACATAACTCCTAGTTTTTAAAAATATTTGAAATAAGAGATTCGTAGATCAGACGACCCCGAGAAAAGTGCACGACTAATACCCCGTGTACCCCAACCCCTGATTATCATTACTCCAGATGTGCACCAATCCAGAGTTTTATTGCTCATCCATCTTGCACTTTACGTGATTCACAGGTTTGGACTTGGTGATGTCTCATATGCATAACAATACAAACATTCCAATAACAATTCAATCAAGCAAGGCAAGTTTGCAATTTTAATTCTTGATTTATTAGTGACAAACAACATTTATTATTTAATCCTTTAACTACCTCGGTGTATAAACACCTTGAGTGCATAAGGCACCCCACAAACTTAACCTCGTCATATAAGACTTAAATTCTTCTTTACTCATCCTATTTGCATAATCATGAATGAGTAATAAATTAATCATTATGTTGACCTTAAGTTTTGATGATGACTCAAAGAACCACTACTAAAAAAATTAATTTTCTGCTATTAATTTGCTGCATTTTATGATTAAAGTGGGTTTTACACATAGGTACTATTAGTATTATTAATTTGCAGGGGTTTTTCCATTGAACAGCTGCAAATCAATTATCTTACATTTACCCTAGCCCGGTATAGTATCCCCTCTATTCCTTAGCCGCTCTACTCGTTCATTATGTTAGTTCTCCCTCTTCCACCTTCATCTTCTCTCACTTACCTCACCAGCTGATTGCTCACCAATCTCACCGGAAATTCTACTTTGTCACTCACTCTTATCGACACTTCTGGTTTCTCACTCACTCACCCGAGTACCCACTCATCACCTACTCACCTTTGTCGGCGTTCACTCGCCGACTATCACTCTAACGGCTTGATGAATACCCACAGATCTAACGGCTAACCTACGTCCTCACCACCACCTTCACTCTCCGACTATCACTCTCAAAGCTAAGGTAACTAATTGTATTTTTTATTTCCTTGACCTTAATTGAGAACGAAGTAGGGAGTCACAAATTTTTGAGAAATTCCCTCGTAAAATGCGATTAGGGTATTACTGCTGTGATAATTGAAGAGGTGAATGTTGATTTGAATTTGTGAAGAGTTTGATTTCAGCATGTTTGAAATCTAGAGCTTGATGAATACAATTGCTTTAGTGTGCTATGTTTCGAAAAGATAATCGGTTTTTCCAATTTTAAATAGATTTTTTAATTTTATGCCATTCATATGTACTCGTATTATGTTTCAATTTAATTTAGAGCAGTTTTCCTTGTTTGTCAATTCTCTTTATCATGCACCCATTTAATTGTGTCCTGCTTTGGCATTTTTGGAGGCTGATTGTTCACTTGTAGAAATTATAATATGATACATTGTTGTGCTGTTTATCTACTAAATTGGAAGGTCATAGAGCACCTGTTACCTCTGTTATTATGGTTCCTAGTTAAAGTAAGATGAATTGATGAAGCTAATTGTTACTGGATTTTTGTTGTGCTTGTATTGATGAAGACATGTGATATTATGTTTGTCACCCTATTTTTTTCATGCTATAAAATTAAAACATTATTTATGCTTCTTTGTAGTGAATTGATTTTCTTTAATTTGAAAGTTTTTTGGGAGTGTGTTATCTAATTGTGAAATTTTTGCTACTGATTAAACAAGTTTATTTTGGTGGTGAATTAGTATTTTTTTGCTTTTATTTTAATTTGGTCAGACATATATTGGAATCGAATTGAAATTTTTTTAGCTGTGTTGCTTCGGATATTTGTTTCTCAAGCTAGAATGGTTTTGTGATATTGGGGAGGAGAGATGGAGGACAAAGAATGTGTTAGAGAGAGTTAAATAAGGAGGATTTGAGAGCATTAGACTTGTGGGATGAGAGGGTAAAGGAAAGCCCATTGATGTAATGACGAACATGCTGCTCAAACTTGTTATAACTTTAAGGTTTTGTTTTAATTTAACCAATTTAATATAGAATATTTGCTAATTATATGCAGGATAAAAGATATAAATTTTGGAAGTGATACTGTCAAACGATGATCACATAGTAGTTTACTTTAGTACCAGGTGGAATCCTTCACCCAAGGGCAATTGAACATCTATAAAAGGTAGCTCAAAGGTGTCGCTGCTGTTGCCTGTGTTGTTGTAGTTGCTGCTGCTCGTGTTGTTGCTGCTGCTACTGCTACTCGTGTTGTTGTTGCTGCTCGTGCTGTTGCTGCCTATTTGACGCCCTAGCTGTTGCTGTCCAATTGACACCATTGCTGTTGTTGCCTTCTTTACTTCTTTTGTTATTAGATCTAAGAGTTCGTAATATTGTCTGTTGTGGCTAGCTCCTGCTGTATTATGTTAAGAAACTGTAATTTCTAATGCTGTCCAATTGTAATTTTTATTTTTATGATGAAAGTGTACTTTTATAGGCTATTATTAATGAAAATATAATGTTTACAATTGCAAATAAGATTTCAGTCTTTTTTCTTTGCTATTTGTTGAATATCAGACTAGCAGCAGGTTTGATAAATAAAAACCCATCTATTTTAATTGTAAAAAAGTATTTATTAGCAGGGGTTAATGGCACTAACCGCTGCAAATCAATGAATTGATTTGCTGCAGTTGTTAACCGCAACAAATTATTCAATTAATTTGCTGCCCTAACGGTTTGCTGCCACTCTAAAATGGCAGCAAATAAATCATTTTCAACTGTAGCAAATAAATGTTTTTCTTGTAGTGAACCTAAGCAAACCCATATAAGTTTAACTTTTGTTTTTAGCTTTGATTAATGATAGGTTTATGCTATGGCATTCTTGAGTAAGAAGGGAGGATGGAACAAGATCTAAGTTAGCTATGGGAGGATAAAGAAGTCAATCACAAGTCGTGTTCCTTTAGTGAGGAAATGAAGCTCCAGAGTTGAAGCTTTGAAAGCTAGTTCCTTGACTGAGGAACTGAAGTTTCAGAGTCGAAGCTTCTCAGAGTGACAAGAGTCTAATGTATTTTATCTTTACTTTAGGCTACTTGTAATTATGTTACGTACAATGATTATTGATAGGATTTAAGTGGATTTAATTTTATTCGATAAAGATTTTATTTTCCATATTTTAACTGATTTAATTTCGAAAATATCTTTTATGTTAAAATATCTTTTTGGATTAAAAAGATTTTCTATTTTGATCTTTTCTTATTCTTTGGAAAATCTGACTTGGAAAATATTCTTTCAAACGTGTGTTTTACCTTGTCAAAAGAAGTTGAGAAAAATAAGGAAGCCAGTAAAACCACTTCCTTATAATTCGATTGACTTGCTGCCCAAGCTCTCACGAACTGCACTTCCTAGTTTTATGGAAGTTGTGGATTAGTGGAGATTAAGGCGAAACGACAATGTTTTAACTTCCTTCTCTGCATATAAATATATTTAGTTTTCTGTTGAGAAAAATACACTTGAGCATTACAGTCTTTTAGCTTTAAAAAGAGTCATTATCCACTTAAATCCTTGAGTGTCTTTGTACTTAGAAATTTAGAGTTTAATCTTGAGTTGTATTGGGATAGAGTTTGGGGAAACTCTAAGAGTGTTTTATTGCTTTGAGTGAGGCAAGGAGAAAGAGAGAGTTAGAGAGATCAACTGATTGAGGGATCAGTTGAAGGGAGCTTGAGTTCGTTGCGGAACTTGAGTTTAGAGTCTTAATTTGTCATAGGTTGTTTGCCCTATTATTATTAAGAGTTGAGTTTAAAATCCCTTGTGGTCGTGGTTTTTCTTCTTGATTAGGGCCAAGAAGTTTTCCAAGTAAAATCTCTCTTTGCACTTTTAGTTTATGTTTGAGTTCCTTTATAAATTCCGCAAAAATTACCCTAATTCCTCTACAATACAATTCATCCCCCTCTTGTATTGTTCATTCGAGTCAACACATTACACCAATTACATACCTTTTCCTCTAAGCGCACCTTGCATAATTAGAGCACAAATAGTACTTGCAATATAAAATAGTGCACATCATATGAAATTCACAATATATAACCAAACAATTTAACCCAGTCATCCCTAAACATGATGCTAAGTTCTCGATTCGTCCTTAAACATGCACCTAAAAGCAAGGTTTCGTAACTTGCACGTACCTTGTGTAAACAATTCGGTTGGCCACTTTAAAACTAGAAGTCGCCTTCTACAAAGTCCTCTCCTAAGCCAAACAATGAGAAATACATCAATACCCAAGCAAATAATTTTACAGTAATACTAGACTACTTTAAAACCTCTTAAATCATCAAAATAAAGCTTTTAAATTGTTCCCCTTAATCAATAATAATAATAAATTTATATGATAAAATCATGAAAATATAGCGTATAATATAAGATTACGGCAAGTTTAACTTACTAACATATGCTGAAAATTTATTTTATTAATAGTTTTTGCAATCCAAATAATCTATACTTATCATATTGCATAAATAGTTGTTTAAAATGTATAGAAGCATTCTAAAACTTTATTTTTGGCTCAAAACTAATAAAAATCAGATTATATAAAATCTGAAAATTAATTTAAATTATAAATTTCAAACTTTTGAAAATCAACATTCATAATTCAATAATTAGAATAGTGTATTACACATTAAACCTTAAAACCCTTCAAATAAACAACATAAAACTCAAATTTCACAAAATGTATAAGGAATAATGGAAACTAATAATCCCACCTTTTTCATTTATACTCAAAACAATCCCACCATTTCCAAATCTGGAAACAATCTCACCTTTACCATCATCTTCCCAAAACGATCCTTTTTACTTATAACCGGATTATCAGGTTATTTTTTTTTATAAATTTTTTATTTTTTATATATCTCCTCCGTCCTACCTCTCACCTCCCCAAACCATTTTAATGGTAACCCACCATAGCTGCCACCACCAAACCTCTATAACCACCATCATCAAACCTCCATAACCACCACACCCGCACACTCGCACCCCCAAACTCCCACCCTATCTCTCACCTGATCTGAATACGTGACCACCGTGCCCCCTAAACCCGACACCCCCACCACCCACGAAACCACCTACTTAATATAAATTGAGTACCTGCATAATATAAGTGTTCCCACTACCACTAGCACCATAAGCAAAGATAGTAGCATTGCACCCATGATAAATCATTAAATCCCTACAATTAACGGCTTCACTTCTCTTCCAAAAATCCATATAACATTATCATCTTCTTCCCCAAAAATCCATCTAATTTGTACCATTATTGTCGACTGAACACGTAATTTGAAGAATTATACCTTGATAAAATTCAACACCCCGACCCACCACCCACGAAACCCCCTAAAACCGACCTCCCAGCCACCATGAAACACCTAAACCCGACCTACCCCAGATTCGAAACCCAACTGCACCCTTAAACGGCAGGTTTTGTTTAATATTACAATTATTCAGATATGAATATTACTCGTACAATTATTAGTGGTTGACGAAGGGGAAAGGGTTTTGTTGTTCGACGGGATAAAGGGTTGCTCTGGCGGGGGAGGGGGTTGCTCCGGTTGGTGGGTTGTAATGCTATATTGTTATTTTTTGTTTTTATTTTTTATTTTTTTTTAAAAAAACCAATTAAAAATTAACATGTGGCCAGTAACCTTCTCCAACAGGTTCCCAATTTAATTATCCGGTTAAAGGCTTATTTTGAGAAGATTGTGTTAAAAGGTGGGATTGTTTTTAGATTTCGAAAAGGTGGAATTGTTTTGAGCAGAATTAGCAAAGGTGGGATTATTAGTTTCTATTTTTCCAATATATAATCTGAAAATTAATTTCAAGTATGAAATCACAGGTTTTGGCATTATGAAACCATAGTATTGATAATTAACTTGCCTAACACGTTTTTAAACCCTAAAACAAGTAAAATCAATATTTAAACCCTAAATTATACATAACATAAAATCTGAAATTTTGTATCATAAATTAAACATACTAAAACTCATAAATTCATAATCTTTTATAATCTAAACATACTATCAAACCATAATAATATAATTTAAAACAAAATTTTAATTAAAGGTTGAAACTTTAAACAATTTAATTAAGATAATAAAGCAATAAAAATAAAGGAAGAGAGGAAGAAGAGGGGCGAACGGTGGCTGAACGGTGGTGCGTTGGGTGACCAGAGGTGCGGCTGGGCGGCGGTGGTGGTGGTGCGTCGGTTGCTGCAGCAACAGCTTCAAGGTTTCTCTCTTTTTTTTTTTTTCTTTTTTTTTTGTTGTTCTGAATCGTGAAGCAGGAAGGAGGAAAAATTAAGGGTTTTATTTAATTTTTTTTTTCTGTTTTCACGAGAAAAGGAGAGGAAAGAAGTGAGGATTATTTTTATTTGGGTTTTAATTCTCCAATTCTATTAGGAGTAGAATTTGGTTAGTTTGGGATTGAATGAGAATTAATTTTGGGCCAATATACTTAAAAAGGGAGTTGTAAATAGACTAAAACTTAATGGTTATATTAGAATAAAATATTTGTATAAATAATAAATGATAAATAATTATATTAGAAAAATATGGGGGATTACACAAACTCATTGCATCATATTGTGCTTACTTGACTACTTATGCATTCCTTGCTTGTGCATACCCTATATGTGTTTACAGTAACCGTTTGTTTGACTTGTGAATGAGTCTAAATAAACTAATTAATGACTTAAGGACTTTGCTTAATTAATTAATTAATTAATATAAATGATTAAAGTCTAAATAAATTGATCAAACTTGACTTAGTACGACTTTAGGCTTGTCCCTTTAGAGTAAAATACTGGAAAAAGTCCCAGACTAATGTTCCAGCAATGGCGCAAAGGTTTGGACTATGGCACCACGCGTTGGTGTTTAGCGCCAAGCGACAATGTTGTTGTCTTGTGCTGGTCTTTAGCGTGTGGCGACAGTCTTGTTGCTCCGACGATAGTCCAGTTTTCTGCTCGAGTCTTCATGACGAGCCTAATTAATCAGTTTACTTAATCAGTTTAACTAGTTTCTTAATGACTATAGTCATGTTTATTCCTTAATTAAGTCTAAGAACATAGTCCTATGGTCTCACACAAGAGTCAAAGCATGTCACTTGCACTCACTATTAAAGCGCACACACAATATGTACGTCACACTTTGACCATGTCTAGAGAGTCTTGTATGCGCATGTTTTCCGTTATTTTTTTAGGGGGGTAAGTCGAATATTAATTCTCCAATTAAACCTTACTTGTTTGAACCTTTACTTGATTCTCGACCATATTTGTTTGAACCTTTACTTTATTTACAAAAAAATGCACCCTATTTTTTCTTTTTGCTTTTTAAAACCAATAAAGTCAAAGTCAATTTGAGTAAAGTCATTAAAACAAATAAAATGGTTTAATTTACAGCGCTTGGTCAAGAAAGGAAGGGCGATTAATCAAGGACAACACCTTTGTTCAAGTACTACTTTTTGGTAAACCAATCATTCGGAAAAGAAAATCTAAGAAGATAATGACAACTTAAGAA